GTAAAGAATAGTTGCAAGCATTAATTTTGAATAAATTAGCTTTAATATTTACTGATTTATCGGAGATTTTGTATTTCTCTAAATTACCTTTATATGTGGATATGGGCGTGGTTATTGCCCGATTTTAAAAATTTTCGGCCATTTGGTATGCTGTACCAGGGCCAACCAACTGTGCCAAGTTTGGAAGAAATTTGTCATCGGTTACCAAGATATACACTTTTAACCACAAGTGGGTGTGACTACGCCCATTTTCCAAAAATTTATAATATTCTTATTTTTCGTCTAAAATTTATTGTAAATATCAATTCTGAGTGAATAAATTATCTTCAGTAGTTACTAAAATATCGCAGTTTTCGTATTTCTGGAAATTACCGTTATGTGGGAAGTGGGCGTGGTTACATACCAAATTTCGTTGAGATATCTCAATTTTTGCTCGAGTTATCGTGTACACGGACGGACGGACAGACAGACATGGCTTAATCGACTTTCTCTAGCATTTATGTATACATTTGTCGTTGTTTGTATATCTATCTCGATTCGTTTTGCCTGTTACAAACAACCGTTATGTGAACAAAGTTATAATACCCTTGTGTACAAGTGCGCTCGTGTATAAAAATATTAACTTCTGCAAAGTACAATCACGGCGACCTATGTATTGTATACAATACTATAGTTACCGATGTTCAGATCGTACTTAGATGACACTGTATTGACGATAGAATTACACAAAAAACGCCGAGCCACCCAAACTTAATTTGAAGTCTTAGATTACGGATCTGTACACCGTTTTTCTAGATCAAGATATTTTCATTTTAAGTTTGCATTGCGAATGAAAAAAATTGTACGATAATGCACGAGTACGGCCATGTATTATATGGCTACGGTGACCATATTTATGAGAGCCGAATACGGGACAAAAAATAATTTTGCAAAATTTTCCACAACAGCTTACAGATCTTAAAGCCTTCTTCAATGATCCTAGATGTATTAGCCCTGAAACAGTATCCTTTTAATAACATCACAAATTTGTAGGATAATTTTCTCGAGATTTTTACCCCCAAAAATTTTTTTTAAAAAATTCGTTAAATTTTAGTATAATAAAGTGCAATTTTAAGTCGCTAAGGCTTACCACTAATTTTTGGCATTTTTTTTACCATGTAATGTATTTTTTTCATGCAAAGCTGGTATGTTAGACCATTTTTTTGAAAGAGAAGCAAATGGGCAGCACTTTCCACTCGCATTTTATTATACTCAATCTTAATAAGTTTTTTCTAAAGATTCTAAAGAAAAAATAGCCAAAACTTACTAAAATGTCGAGTCCTAATTTCTATTTTGGTCACTGTATGTATTCCTCGATTCGAATCACAGGCATTCAGATTAGAAAATAATAACTGTTAATGGAGAAAATTACGATCATATACCAACATCACTTAAAACTCGTTCATAGGCATGCCATTTTAAGGAGCTCTTAAGGCGTCGAAACACCGAATACGGGACAAACACAGGTCATTAAAAGAAATACAGAACATTTGGCGTCCCGTATCAAATAAATAAATTACGAGGACAATGGGTCAAAAAAGAGGACTGTCCCGTATAATACAGGACGGATGGTCACCGTATATATGGCGTATGAGTAACATTATTTCCTGCTTCTATTTCATACTAAAAATGATTACGCATTTTCATTTGACCATTCAAAAGTGTTTTATTTATCCAGCGATTTTCAACTCAAATAAAAAAAAAATTACAAAAAAATGTGTTGATTTTTTAATTTTTTCCTCGTTAAAGTTTGAACATTTTTTCAGAAAAATTAAAATATATTTGGAAAATGTCGTGATATGGACAAACGGTAGACAGATACATAATTTACTGCCCAGAATTTATTTTACGTATCTCGGCCTTTTTGTGTAATTTCAAGATTTGATATTTTCCCTACAGTGTTATGTAGTGAACCCTTTTCCACCCTATTGAAAAGTAGCAACACTGAAAGTTGTAGAGAACGTGAACCCGAGCACCAGCCTATGATGAAGGAAGCAATGTCGTCGCTGAAAAACAACAAAGCTGTTGCTATGCAGAATATGGTCAAATGGACGCATGGAATTCAAGTGTGCTTTGCCTAATCCATAAGAATGTGCCAATTACCGCGAGGTCAGCCTGACTGATGATAGTTGCTGGCCTATGCCGACGACATCGACATCAATGTTTTTTCCGCCCTATCGGAATTAAGTATATAGAGAAGCAAGCACTTGGGCCTGGTGGTGAATGAGAACCAAACGAAATCCTGGCAGAAGCGTACCACGACATCATCAGCTGAGGTGGCCCTTGGAGTGTACTCTGAGAAAAATATTTCGGAAGATATGTGGTTCTTTATGCATTTATGGCGGCGAATACCGGACGACAATGGAACGATGAACTGTATGTGCCAAAATAAAGCGACAAGTGCTGGCTAGGCTGGTGGCAAAAGAAAAGCAATGCCTCTTCTTGAAGAACTTGGCTTCACTTAGAATTTCGATTGGCGTGCTATGTTGAAGTCGGCCAAAGCGGTTACTACGCCAATCTAAAAGAAGAAAATGCTTGTAACTATGTAGTCAAAGAGCCAAGCGCTGCACGAAAACCATCAATGAATAAAAGTAATGGGCACGCACACACACATTACGCATACGCCCTGTCGAGCGTGAGCAATAAACTTTTACTAAAGAAACCGCTATCATCTAATAATGAAACTAATATCCTAAAATTTTCCAATGCGGTATCCTATTGGATACCTATTAAAATATATGGATCCTATTAAAATAGAGCGTTTATTATATTTTTGTATCTTTGATCAAATTATCAATACACTGAGCTGATTGCTACATACATATTAAAGTATTTATAGAAAATTTCCTTAATACCACAGTGCGTATGAAATATGTATGTAGTGGTCAAATTAAGGGCATACTATTACAAAACTAATACACATACTTGTGTATATTAGACTCATATACATACATACATACGTATGTATGTACATACGGTGTACCTCTGAAATAAGTCTCACCACCAGACATTAATCACTCAGCAGACCTTTGCACCATTATGCCCTTAATCCCTTTTTATAGGCACATAAACTACACATACATATGTACACATGCACATATCTGGAAGAGCTTCTTCTAATAAATATAAAATATTTACGATAAGGAACCGGAACTGCGAGATAATAAATGTATGTATGTATGTATGTACACTAGGGTATATGTCATAAGCTTTTTTTATATCTGCCGCAATTGTGCACTATTATTATAAATTATTGGAAAATGGGATTGGTCCGCCTATTTAAAATAAGAAAGGTGTAAAAATCGTGTTTTTGCCAAAATGTAAATTTTATTGCGGATTCGGATAGAATAAATTTTTGTTCCGCAAGATTATTGTTTAAAGTTAGATCTCGGCCTATCTTACACTTCTTTTATTAATTTATAGTTTTTAATGCTCTATCCATCAGTTTGGTTCCAATCCAACTCGCTCTAAGGGATTTCAAAGTAAAAAAAATTAAATATAAAAGGGCCACTGAATACTGTCAAAGACACATAGACATAACTTATTAATTAATCTGGTTGCAACCCGCTTAAAAAATATTTTCGCAATAAATCGTTTGAAGCGTTTTACGTTGTGGGTGTAAAACAGTGATTTAATATTTTATTTAACTTATAAATTAATGGATTTTAACTTTTTAGAAGGTGGCAGCTCCCTTCCAGATTATAACCTTACTTTGCGCTAAATTTCATTGAAATAAGTCCAGCCAAATCATGAATGAAATTTATTTGTGATTGGA